TCCGTCCGTCCGTCCGTCCGTCCGTCCGTCCGTCCGTCCGTCCGTCCGTCCGTCCGTCTGTCCGTGTGTCTGTTTACAAAACTTCTACACCCTTGAAGATAGAAAGCTGAAATTTTATATATACATAGATCTTTACTAGAAACTTATTTTCGTAGAACAAAATTTTTACCTATCTCCCCCCCTCTAGAAGTTATACCCCCCCAAAACCCTAAAAATGGCCTTTTCTAAATATTTGTTGCAATGAAACCATAAGTATTTTTGAAATTTTGCAAACGCAGAAAGGCAGCGGCTTGCTTCCCCTAGCGCGGTATACTATAGTTAAACTTTAGAAAAACAAAATGGCCGTTGAAATTTACCGTTATCTAAAGTCCTTTTTTTCCAAATTTTTGATGTCGTTTTTCTTCTAGATCCTATATTCTAGAACTTTGAAATTTTAGGGGCTTTTAGACATTAACAAATAGTTCATTTCGTTAGAAGAAATTTTTTTTCCATCTCCACCCCCTCTCAAGTTATCACCTCTTGAAAATCGTAAAATTTGAATTTTTGACACCCTATATTTCCGAAACCGCAAGCTTTTCCAAATTTTTATAAACGCAAAAAGCTAACGGTAAATTTCGTGACACTAAAAAATATAATTATTTTTCTTAACTCACACAATTAACCCTTAAAATCGAGCATTATGTTAACCCCTTTTTATGTTAATTTTTGCTTTATTTCAAAGACTGCATATATGCGTCATCCTAAATATATGCAATCCTAGTAATAGTTTTGTATATGAATGAAAATAATTTTTATAGTGTGATAGGTATACATAGACTGTATTTAAAAGCAGAATTTTCACTTGTTGAAGGGAAAAGTGCTACAATACAAACCATTGGTTTGACCCAACTTTATTTGTGTTAAAGCTTTTGAGCACGATATTTTTTTTCACCACATTCAATATATTTTAACTAAAATGTTTGTGTTTGAGGTTTTTTTTTTGTGTGTTTCAACCTTCAACAAATGAAAAATGAATTCTGTTCTTGAAAAAAAATAAAAATAAAAAAAAAGGATTTATTTTTGGTAAAAAAACAGAAATCTATATATGATATTATGGAAAACTGGAAAATCTTATATGAAAAATCTGCTTCTGTTTATTTTAATGATTCTGAACGTTTGTACCAAGATTATACTTTATGCTTTATAATTTTTAATGATCGAAAAATCAACAATCACTAAAGATTGAGGACTCTGCATCTACTGATATTTGGATAGGCTTTTTTTGAGCTATTAGGAGAGTAACTCAATAAGTATCTAGTTTCAATAGTTTTAAATCAGAAAATACAAGCACTATCGTTACACAATTATCTAATTGCATATTGTATTTCTCAGAATAGCTGTAACAATAATTTTTGGATTCAAAGAAACTGATTTTGAAATTAAATTTCGAAAACAGTTCTACACAAAGTAACAATTAAGAAAATTAAATTTTTCAAAATTGATCAAAAATTACCATAACATTAAATAATCCTTAAAATTATATTTTTAAAAATTAAAGGGTTGCATTATGGTTTATCCAAACAATTAACAGGTTGATTGGATCAAGAAGTCACAAGCTGAGATTTTTTAATTACAAATTGTCATGCTTAATTGTAATTTAAATATGAATGTTTAATATCTTTAAGATTTTGAGGTTTTTAGATTTTAATTTAATTTTAAATTGCGGGGCTCTATTAAAACCTATATTATAATATTATGGAACTACTCACCGTAAAATTATAAACAAACGAAACAAATGGTAAAATTAACCAAAAATTTACGTAATTTATATTCAAGGTTGTTTTCTATATGTCCAGAATTACTGTGGGCATTAAACCGAAATTTTTTTTAAAACTTCTTTTATTTTATTTTTCTATATTATTTAAAGCATCTATAACTTTTTATACCTTTTAAATTTTGAAACAAAAATTTTCCTCATTGTAAATATTAAGAATTAATGTAGGTGTTTAAGTTCTCGAGATTTTTTCCCTGTGACGAGTTCTTATTTTTGTACAGCAAACAATAAAGTCAAAAAAGGATTAAAAAAGTCTTAACAAAAAGCATTTTGGAACGGAATTCTACTTATAGGTACCTACATTATATACGTATATACATATTCCTTTTTTTACCAAAAAAAAAATATTTTTTCAAAGAGGTGTCAACACAAGATTTTCTACTTTACAAGACTTTGTCATTTCAAAAAAAAAAAACAAAATTTTGCAGAATTAAATTTTGTTTTCAAGAAGTCTTAAAATATTTTTGAAAAAGGATTTTTTATCATAATATTTTTCCTACTCTTTTAATTAATTTTGCTTTATTATTTTCTTGTTTAAATTTCATGAAAAGTAAAGTTCTTATTTTTTTTTAAGTAATCAGATACCTAATTGTTTTTAACAGAAGAATCTTTCTAAGAATTAAAATTTTCTAATTAGCAAAATTGCAAAAAGAGAAAACAAAAAGGATTTTTCAGAAAATTTTTAACTTTACAAGCATTAAATTTAGTTTAAAGTAGAAATGGCAATAAATTAATTTTTTTTGGAAAATTTGGAGAAGTAGAAATCATTAGATGATGATAATAATTTCATTAAAGAGAAAATAGTTGAAGGCAATGTTGAATTAGAGCTTCTATTATGAAAATGTACGTATAATGTGTGATTCTAATTTAAATGATCCGTAAATGGCAGTAATTGAGCAACACTTTTAAGATAATTTATTTAAAATCATTTAATGCCAAATTGAGTAAGTATGTTTAAAAACTTATTTAATTTAAAGTAGAACAGAAAACAATCGAAAAAGAAAATTTTTCAAAAAAAAAAATGCTCTGGTTTAGGCTAGAACTTGAAGATTTCATTTATTTTAAATTGTTTTTAGTAATTTTACGAAACATATTCTAACATGAATTTAGAATTTAAATTTTGAAATTTCTGCAATGATTAAATTTATAAAAAAATGCTTTTTTAAAATGTTTTCTTAAAAATAAAACAAATAATTGAGTATAGCTGCATCTAGAAAAATTTTAAGAGAGATTTTTATAGATATATAAAATTAGACTAAATAGTTGTAACTACAGTAATTAATTTTTTTTAACTAAATTTGGATGAATTCGAGAATTGCAAAGTAGAGAATTGCAAAACTATGAGGATGAAATGACATAAAAGAACTTAAAACACAAGTTCGGGCTCAAGTTATAAATACTTAATTTAGAAATTTTTTCACAAATAATAAAAGAAAATGAATTTAATGTTTAATTACAGTAATTTTGATTTTGAATCAAATTAAAAGCGTTGCGGAGGGGAGCGAGTGAAAATTTATCGGACTTCTTTGAATTTTTAAATTTTTAATTAGTTAATATTGTTAATAATTATCTGCTAATTCTTTATTCATATTAGCATATATGTTGGTAACACTGTCATAATGTTATATTGTTATATTTTATATTATAAAAAGGTAATATTAACAAAAACAAAACTGCCAAACAACCTGAATGCTGATAAATATTTTTAAACCAGGTGCAATAAACAATATTCTGTGTCACATTTTTCCGAATAATTAAAAATCAATCATTTTATTAAACAAAATAATAAAAAAGAATTTTTAAAAAGAATTTTAATTAAAATTCCATCATTTGGCCTTTTTTTAATAAAATAACAGTTATAAAGGTGTAATTATGCACAATATAACAGGTATAGGACGTTGTTTTTTTTTTTTTTTTGATAAAACCAACGAAAAAAAATTCATATGATTTTTTTGTTTGACAACAAATTTTTTTTTTTATATATTTTTCACTTTAATTATTTTTTATGCACGAAATTGTCAAAAAAATTTTTTTTTATTTAATTTTGTTATTGCACATTTTTATTTAACAGAGAAAAAAAAAATAATGTTAAATAAATTGGGGCAAATGAAAGTCATTTAGCACAGTAATTAATATTTTTTTTTGTTTTTTTTCAATTTCTACCATTTTCAATTTTCCAATTTCTATCATACATGTATTATATGAAATTAATGTACATATAATTTAATTTGATTGTAGTTTATACCAAAGAGTGATTTAAATTTATATGGTGCCTATATTTTTGATACAAATTGGAGACAAACAAATTTATAATGAACAAAAAAAAAATGAAATATTTAATTAAAGTTTTTGTTATCCCGAAATACTGAAAATTTCATTTCTATTTTAATTAAATTGAATATTTTATCTGTATAAATTTCTGTAGGTGTAGAAGCTTTTTAAAAAACGATTATACTTGCAATTTCTACATTAAATTGGATACCTAATGCATTAGCCATGAAAGTATTCAGAAGTGCTTTACAACCAATACGAATTCCTTCATACAACTATAAATAACAGGTAGGTAAGGTAATCAAAGGAACGAGTCCAACGTGTTTGACTAACATGCATGACAAACATGTATGACCAACATGTTTGACCAACATGTTTGACTAATACGGATGACGAATATGTTTGACCAACATGCATGACCAACATGTTTGACTAGCATGCATGACCAACTTGAATTTACCAATATGTTTGAAATGGACTTAAACCAGTAATGTATACGATTTTCTAGACGAACGTATGAAGAAATTATCGGAAAATTGTTCTTCACAGTGCTTTACAAGTGAACTGCATGATTATCAAGTATTTGTTTACATAATTTACATTTGTTTAGAACTGTAAGAATTTCTGTAGACATTTATAGTACCGTCTGCTATTAAAAATTATTAATTCATGTAAATAAAGGACAAAGAATAGAGATAAACAACATCAATATTCAATATTAAAATTTTAATATATTCTCAGTTCAAAGAAAATATTCACATATCTCTTTCAAAATTACTTGTTGAAATTAAAATCTCTGTATATTATGTTATTTAAGATAATATAAAAGTTTTTATTAAGATACTATTTTCAATAAAAATAATATAATTTATATCTAATATTGTTATACATTAAAATTATTACAAAAAAAACTTACCTGGTATTATAAATACTGCCAGTATTACAGGCAAAGCTATCCTTAGATAAATCCTAAACATTTTTCTATACATTTTTATTTATAATCCTTGAATATTTAATTTGTTGATTATATTTTTTTTATATGTACTGTACTTAATTTTATTTTTAATTTATTTCTTTTAATATTTGTATTAAACCATATTTTTTATGTTTCTTTGTTTGACACACAATTATTATTGAAACACTGAAATTCTTTGCAACTTCTTTGTTCATTTATTAATTCACTTGTTTTTATTTCTTTATATTTTCAATTTTGTAGTTTTCATTAATATTTTTCAAATATTATTGTGATATTTTTGAAAATATACTATTTTCAAAATTTTCATGTTTGTAATGGTCTTATTTTTCAATATTTTCAAATATAATTTGCTTATTTTTAAAAGTACACACAATGTTTATCTATTTTACATAAAAAAAAAGAAGAATTAGAAACAATAATAATAAATTTTGTATTTTAGTAGATACTATTTGAGAAAAACAACAACAATATTCTATCTCAATAAAAAAGAAAGAGATAAACTTTCTATCTAAAAATTTGAGAGCAAGAGAAACTACCTATACATTTGTTTCAATTTTACATATACAGCGGGTAATTGTAATGTAAGTGAGTAACAGAAGCGGGATGTGGGTAATAGGAATAATAAAGGTAAATATCATAAAATATATTATAGAAAAAGAAAAGTAAAAAATAACAATATTGAGTATGGCGACAGTGAATTTAATAATAACAAAAAAAAATCTACTCATACATTGATTGTTTTTATAACCTTTAAAATTGTGTTATATACCTTTTACCGTTATATCAAAAAATTAATGTTATTTTTAACCTTTAAGAGTAAATATTAAGAATAAAAAGAGACGTAATGAAAATATTGGAAAAACATGAACATAAAAATTAATTGAAAATTTTTTTGTTTTTCTTAAACTATTGAATTTTTACGTGTATTTTTTATGGGAAAAAGAAAACAACAACAAAGTAATAACGATAAAATGAATTTTTCAATCACTTTGTTTAATAAGTTTTGAATTACTTTGTTTTTTTACCTAATATATTATGATAATCTTGCTTTACATAATCATAGCAAACGATTATTCATTCTCTGAATTCATTTAATTCAGGAAAATTTACATAAATTAATTTATTATTAGGGTAAATTACCCAGTGATCGGTACACTTAATAAAAATTTTAGATTCAAAATTATGATGCTATATAAACGTATTTATTCAATCTACCAATTTTATACCTCTTTCGAATTGTTAATATTTTAGCTGCCTATCATACAAATACATTATTTTTTGAAATATGTATAAACCTATAGATTAATGTGCGAATTTTGTTCGAGACACTTATTTGTACAAATTATTGTTATCACAACACTAACATCAAAAATTCATTGTCTTACTATGATTTATTATTAATTAGCATCAATTGTTGTATTATTGATTACTCTTATTTTATTTTGTAATTTCCATTGTTTAATTTCTCTTTTAATAGTAAAAGTACTCTCCCACTGTAATGTGTAAAAAAAATACTTTAATTAGTGTTATCACACTTACAACAATGCACAGAGAGAGAGAGAGCGAAATTAATATTATAATTTAACAGAGTTATAGAAATTCGAGTATTTTTATTTTATTGTATTATATTGCATTACAGTGATGAGGCTTAGCTCAATTTTTAATAATTACTGTCGTAATGTAAACAATTTATTACTCATTATTGTTGCTATTACATTTAAAATTTTCATTGATTCCTTTACTTTTACTCTGCTCTCTTTACACTTTTACTCTATCTTATTGTAATTATTACAATATTTTTTATTCTTCGCAATTTAAACTCAATTCTGTTTTATAATTTAATAAATTTTTAAACTTTTTTATAAAAATATTCTTAAATATTCTGAATTATATATACTTTGCTATAAATGAATAAAATAACGTTCACAAAAAAAATTTAATATTAATATTAAAATTATTATACAATTCAACGTTTTCATATTCCTAAAATAAATTCCAAAAAATAATTACCTAGTTATATGAAGTAAAAAAATTGCTACTTTTAATAAATTACATTAGATAATTTTCTTAAAAATGAAATAATTTTTAACTTAAATTTTATTCCTTAAAAAAACAAAAAATTAAAGTTTATTAAAAACTCTTCAGGATATTTTAATTTTTCGGATAAAAATTTTAATTGTGATTACTATTAAGTAGGGAAGAAATAAAATTGAGTTGAATTATAAGGTCTATAACCTACTTATTATTCTAGTAATGTAGCAGGGGGTTATCTAATAGTATTTTTAAGATAAAATTATTGTAATCAATATTACACAAATATTTCTTTGTAATCATAATTTCCTAATTGTTTTAATTTCTAATTTTTTACCAGAAGGTCTGAATAAATTCTGGCTTTTTTTTTAACTAGAAATATTTAACATTTTTTAAATAGTTACTAAAAATTACAAAAACTTTCCTTCTTATCTTCTTTTCTATAGGCAAATTCTAGCGATATTTAAAAATTTTCCATTTATAAATTTTCTTAATTTACCTACCTATACACAAACTTTATTTTTATTAGAAAAATTTTCAAAAAAAAAAAATTTGAATCACTTACTTGTAACACTTCTTACCCTAAAGCACTAGTTTGTTTTCTTATGTTCATTTTATTATATTTTTTTCACTAGAAAGTTAATCTTAACATTTTTTTAAATTTTTTTCAGCTTCAAGGAGGAACAGAAAAAAATTTTCCTTTTTTTTTCTTGTTTAGTTGTTTTTTTTTTTTTGATATTTTAAAAATGTTTCGTTATAAAATATATTTTAAGCTTTTTAGATTTTAATCCCTTAACACGCTTTTGCTCTTCTTTTACATTACATTTTCCATTTTTCTCTTATTTTTTTTTTTTTTATACGATTTATTTGTATGAAGAGAATGCTATTAGAGGATTGCTTTTGTCGTTGTATAATGCGTATAATATTTTTTTTTTCTTATTCTTATTTTTTCTGTTCTAAAAACATAAAAAGGAAAAAATTTAAAATAAAAATATTGTAATTTTATTGGATAAAAAGATTTTTGTTTTTTTTTTTTTTTTTGCTTAAGTCACAATTAATATTTTTTTATATTCTCTTGATGAACAAACATACGATGATAATAACAAAATATTATTAGATTTTGAGTGTTTATTTTGAAAATTCTTCTCCAAAAAAAAAAAAAAAATTGAACAACAATAGAAAAAAAATGAATACAGAAATCCTCAAACTTCCTTATGATGATCCTTTCTTATAATATTGTGTGCATGTTCTGAAAAAGAAAAGAAAACAATAATGAAAAATAAATTATATATATACACAATGGGTATAGTACATATGGGTATAAATTTTTTTAACAATATTAATAAAATTTTAATAAAAAAATTTCAATTTAATTTTAATAAAATAGTAACAAAATCCTGTGAGAAAGGAAATTTTCCAATAGCAATACAAAATAAATTCAATTTGCTGTTCTATAAAATAAAATAAAAATTATCCAAATTTTGAAATTAAAATTTCGGATGAATAACCAAATTGGTTACAATAAATATCTGCCTTCAATGAGAACGTGATGATGAAAATGATGTCCAAAATTATATTGAATTGCACTAGAACAAAGTTAGTGAATTTTCAATTTAATTATAATGAAAATAAAAGCATAATTCCCTTAATATTGCAATTAAAAGTAATTTGCACAAAGCAAGATTCGCGACATATACTAGAATTTTAGAGACAATATCATAATTATCTATATTTCTCATAAATTCTGTCTAGGAAAATTTCATATCTTAAATTAATTGCTAAAATTTCATTTAAATTATAAAATAATTTGGTCAAAAATTTTTTAATTTTAATCACTAAATTTTTGAATGTTTACAAAAAACATTTAAACAATTTCATGAAGTTTACAATTTCTTAATTATTAATAATCGGATTGAAATTTTAAATTTACCAAATAGTATAAATTTAGCCTAACAATTGAAAAATAATTTGAACAACTTAATTATTTGGTATCTCGATTTTTATTTCATTATTTAAACCAGATTTCTTCCTTTTTTTTATTCTTGACATATTTCATTTTTCCAAAAATATTGCCCATACTTTCAATTGAATTTTTGCATTTTTTCTCATATTGTCGACTAAACCTATAACCTTCAGAAAACAAAATGAATCTATAATAATTAAATTTTGTATAAATTCTTGAAGAGATGAGATACACAATAGGTAAAAATTCTCTCACTCAAAAATTTCGTTATATGCAAATCAAAATGATAGTAACTCACTTTCTGTTCACTTGACGGATAATATAAATGATGGTCACTCACTATCTGCTCATTTGACGGGTAAAAGAGCGATAGATACACGATCAAGCTCGAAATTTTCTAATCCGTTACGATAATTTACTTACATTTTAGGAAAAAAATCAATTATTAACTTAATTATAACTTCAATTCTTAAATCGAATCAAACTATAATATTAATCAAATTTCGGAAAATTAAAAATATTCTTTTTGAAAATTTTTCAATAATATTTGAATTTAGAATCAAAAACTTTCATATTTCTTTGACGACGAAGAAACAAAAAAATATTAAAATAAAAATATAATTTTGTTAACAATCAGAAAACTTTTATTTAACTGAAATTATGAAAATTAAGAAATCAAAAAATTTATTGTAAATATTTATGAAAATTAAGAAGAGAAACGAAAACAAAAAATTCAACACCAAAATAAATACATAAATAAATAATCAAAATTTATTCCAAAGTCCAAAAAACGAAAATCAAATTATTTATAAATGTCCTTTCTATTATTTGACCCTCATACCCGTATACCTTTTGTTTTTTTTTTTTATTTTTTTTTTACTGTTCTATTTTTGTTCTATTTTTCGACCAAATTTCTAATTAAAAGTTTTTCTTTTTTTTTTTCGTTTGTGTAATTTTTGTTGTTCCGTTTTTTTTCGAAGGTCATAATTAACACGAATCAGAAACACAATCAAAACAATTTACCCGAATAAACGTAATTGCTTTTTACTATACCCTAAAATTAAGAATTCTGTTGTTTTGGGCCAAGAGAGAACAACACTAGAAAAGCAAAAAATTTAACAGAGTAGCACACCATATAAACGATTATCCTTCTGAACCAATCAGTAAATTTATTTTTTCGTTTTTCGTCTTCTTTTTTATTTGTTTTCCTTGTTATTGTTTTTTTATTTCTGTTCCCTCTTTAAATTCCATGAATAGCTCTGTTTGCATAAATAAAAATTCGATGTAAGAAATTATTTTTTTCTCTTTCATTTTTTTTTTTTTTCAATTTTGTTTTTTGTTATTATTTTATTTATTTCCGTTCTGTTGCTCTCAATATTAATATTGTTATTTTTTTTTTCATATTATATTTATGTAGTGATATAAAAATATTAAGTATATATGTATGTGCGTGTACAAAATATACAAATAAATAAAGTTAATATGTAGCTAAAATTATCGTAAATTTTTTTTCTTTTTTTGTTGAACAACAATAGCGAAAGTTTATTTTCACAATTGTAAATATCGTCAATTGAATACAAAAAAGAATCGAAAAAAAAAGTTAATTTTTTTTAATGAAATGACATTGTTCTCCTTGTTTTGTAGGATACATATATAAAAATTTGGAGTCAATATGTATGACTATATTCAATATTAGAAAGTGGTTTCGAATCCTTTATACGACTACGAATACGACTACGTAAATCGCTATGAATAATTCCGAGAGAACTCAGTATACTGTTCATAAATTTTGTTTCAATTGTAATGAAATCTTAATGAAATATGAGATTGTACAAGTAAGAAATAGCAATTCTACCAAAATTATGTAAAACTTCTATTATTATTGAGTTTAACCTCAGTTATTAAAAAATTTTATTGTCAATTTTTCACTTTTCAGAGCAGCATCAATCAGAAACTAACCATCTTTCATTCGTACCTGAAAACGAAGTTAAACTGCAATTACAAAATAATTTATTATTATAATAATACTACACATGTGATACATAAAAATTTCATTCCCTGAATTCGAAATTAATTAATGAATTCAAACTTTAAGCATTCGATAAACTTTTGAATTCAAACTTAAAGAATTCGATTTCATCACTTGTACATTTTTTATTATATTTTGTTTTTCAAATGTGTTTATGTAATAACTAATATTGTTTGTATAGAAAAACTCCTACACAACCCCTAAAATTATGCAAAATTTTTTATATTAAAAATGTATTTGATTTTCGGAATACATTTAAATATATTCTGTTATTATTACAGAAAAGCCATGTAACTAAAATCAAAATTCAAGAAAACAAAGAAAAAAAAATAAAATATGCTTATAATATTATACAACATACATTTATATGTGCCCCCTATATTTTACGTGTATATTATGATTATTTTTTGGCACAATTTTCAGAAAAAAACAATTTATTCACATAAATTTTCTCACATAAATATAATTTAGCCAATTCTCTATAACCATTTACACAAGCAAAAAAAAAAATTTAAGTTGGAATGAAAATAAAATGAAATGAAAATTTTCAAAAAACTAAGTTGCGACAGCAGAGACAACAGCAACAACATGAAAAAAAAAAACTAAAATTTTCATAATATTTTTTTTTTTTTTCATATTCGAAAAATATTTTTCTTATTTGAGATTTTACTTTTATTGTAAGAATGCCTAAATAACCAAAACTTTGCTTCAAAAAGCAATAAACGAAGAAAAACAGAAAAAAAAATAAATAAAAATATGTGGAAAAAGGACGAAAATGATAAGGAAACAAAAGTTTACTTTATAAACACCCAAAAAAATAAATATACATTTATAATTTTTGTTTTTTTCTCTCTCTCTCTATCTCTCTCTCTGTGTATTCATCACCCGACCTCATTCTTTCAATTCTTTATACATGTACTTACATAATATACGTGTATTGACTATTACATAGCGACCATAACCTAAAGGACAATATATCGATTAGGAAGGATTTATTTGCAAATATTGTCCCATAAAAATTGTTTTTTCCTTCCTTCCGATTTAATTTTTCCCTCTCATTTTGTTTTTCTTATTATTTTTCTTTTCCAGCTTTATTGTTATTATTTTTTTTACATAAAAAAACTTTGAAAATATTGCGAACATATCTTATGTAGATATAAAGTGCCTATGTAGATACGAAAATATTAAAATATTAAAAGAATGTAAAGTAGAAGGAAAAAGAATGAGAGAAAAAGAGTAAGAAAAAGAGAGGGAAGGGAGAAGACAATAAAGCTTTCAGAAATGAGGGAGTCAAAAGGACAAAAAACGATCATATTTATTATTTGTTTCCTTGTTTTTAAAATGAAGTCACCAAACAAAAAGTATAAAAACAAAAAATAACAAAAATAAATTAAAAAAGAAAAATAAAAAATAAAAATAGGAAAAAAATGTTAAATAAATGGTATTTTAGTATTATTTTTGTTTCTTGTTTTTTTCCTATAGTTTATGAGAATATCCTATTATTCTTATATTATTATTATGATTCTAAAACAGTAGGTATCACCTCCTGTTATAGAATCATCATTCGGGCTGTTTTATAGTCTTAGTAAAAAGTTATTTCAGCTGTAAAAATATAAAACACGAAATCTTAGTGAAATGTCACAGAATGAGTTCAATTTGATAATTACGAGTGAAAATCGACTAAGTCAAATTTGAGAATTTTTCAGGTTATTAAAAATTCTAATTCTTCATTGTTTAATCTATGATTTGACAAAATTTTATTTCTTAAATTCAATTCGTTTCGGAGTTATAAATAAAAGTATAAAAATTTATAGCATTATTTTCTTAAATAAAATCTAAATTTTTCAGTACAATTACTGGAAATTTATGTTCTCCCGATTGAGAAATAAAATTTTTACTTAAAAACAGAATAATTTTTTCAACTATACCTAATTTATACACTAAAGGCTTACTTTCAATATGGACAACCTGTACAAAAATATTTTATTACAGATACAACAATATATAGGTTATAGGTACATACATTAAAAAATAGAAAAAACGAATGAATAAAAAAAAATAAAGGATATTCATATAATAATGAAAAGTAAAACCATAATAAAGTCATATATTAAAAAACATAAAAAATTTCACATGTCCTTTTTACACACATACCTATATACACAGTAATATTATATATATCCATATCCTTAATAATAAAATCAGTTTTTATCATATTTTATGTTATTGAGTTAAAAGTGTTTCAATGAAAATACAA